ATATTTTATATCATTTACTTTACTTGGATGACAAAGAGCAGAGTTCCTTTTTTCAAAGATGTTTCAGAGTTGATGGCTGTTCTTTGTTCTAGTCACTAGAAAGTTGACCTGTTGAGATAGCCATGTTATTCTTTTTTGATAGGCAAAATTGTAACTGCATGTTATTCTCCAAAACACACAAGACATAAATACAGAATCACTGAAAAATTCAGAGGCTGTGGTAGGATAATTCTTTTATTAGGGCCAACTCATGTCACTCTTTTAATTTGCAGTGGAAATAGTTCTGTAGCACCTGTAAAGACTAATGAGTTTTTATTTTTCATAAACTTTTGTGTGTCTAAGCACATGTCTTTAGATGAATGGAACAGATGAATACTCTTATGTATTTTTTTGGTATTTGCCTACTATGGTGTTTGGCATTTATTAGGAGAATGTCTGATTTTCTGATGCATAGCTTTTTCCTGATTCTTTCTTCCTTCCTTCCTTCTTTTCTTTCTTTCTTTCTTTCTTTTCTTTGTAAAGCTCATAGGTGATTTACTTTCCCTTCCTTCCTGAGGCAGCTAGGTTTTGAGTGCCCCCTCCAAAGGGCAGACCTTATTCCTTTTTATTTTAGGATGATTATTTCTTTGTCTCTCCACCTAGAGATGCCTGCTCTTAGGATTCCAAGCCTCAGGTGCAAACACAAATTTGTCTTTCTTTCTTTCTTTCTTTTCTTTGTAAAGCTCATAGGTGATTTACTTTCCCTTCCTTCCTGAGGCAGCTAGGTTTTGAGTGCCCCCTCCAAAGGGCAGACCTTATTCCTTTTTATTTTAGGATGATTATTTCTTTGTCTCTCCACCTAGAGATGCCTGCTCTTAGGATTCCAAGCCTCAGGTGCAAACACAAATTTGACCTGTATCGATACCGACACCGCTTTGCTTTTCCACCTGTTAGGCGGAATATGTGGCTTCTAGAACACCTCTGGTGCTGGATTTGGGAATATTTTATGCACTGGGTCTTTATTTATTTACTTATTTATTTTACCTTGTTTCTCACAATTGGACTCCGGACGTTCCCATCCTTTTCACAACTCCAAGTTACACTTGCCAAAGGCAACCTGGAAAAACCCTTCAGGTTCTACCTAGTACAGCCCTTAATTTTTGTGTCTTTCCTGCTACTGATCTTTTTTTAAAAAAAAATGCCAATGATGTAACCAAGGACATGAGCATGTTTCCAGCCGTGTCTAACTATATATTGCAGAAAAGCCTAAACAATAGGTTGTCACATACCGGTCAGTGGGATAACAGATGGAGGCTGTGAACACAGACCCAAGATGATAAATGGTTTGTGTTGGATTTTAAAAAGAGGACACCTCTTAACATAATTTCTTATCTTCTTCTGCTTGCCGTCTTCCTCCCCTAGTAATGGCTCAACATCATCACAGTTGTGACGACTCTGGAGGAAGCAGCTCTAAACAATACTGTGTTGTAGGATGGGTTTTTTCAAATTTCTGCGACTACAAATTCCATAACTCTCAATTCTCAGAGTTCTTCCTGACCGACGCCTAAGTGTGGCTCGCCTAGACTTTAAGGCCTAGCTAGGCCTAGCTGCAAGCTTTCCGAACAGGAAGCTAGGTGGAGCTGGGCCTCAAAGACTTCCAGTTGAGCCACATTAAGGTGTTTTATCTTCAGGCCTAGCTAGGCCTAGCTGCAAGCTTTCTGAACAGGAAGCTAGGTGGAGCTGGGTCTCAAAGACTTCCAGTTGAGCCACATTTAGGTGTTTATCTTCTCCGGTAGAATTCTCAGAATGGAGAATTATTGTGATTTGCAGCCCAGATAGCCAAAAATCCCATCCCTTTTATCTTGCATCCAAAGTACTCCCCTCCTTGCATTTCTTTTCCAGCCAGTACATTTTTCTCTTTACTTAACCAAAGTGTTAAACTTTCCTGCGTTATATGTGTTTTCTTGGTGTTTATTCATTTCTTATAGTACTTCTTTCTTTACCATCCTCTTGATCCAAGGAATGGGATCAATCCAACTTTCAAATGCTTTGATCTTTTTAATAGCAGCCTGGGTTAGAGCTGGCAGTTACACGACACGTAGAAGAACCGGGAACAGAAAACACCATATGTCGTACATTGTCAAAGATAATTTACAGACCATCAGGATAATTTACAGACCATCTGTTACTAGCCATTGTGGAATTCAGTCTTCTCCACAGAAATGAAAGATTCTGATGATGTGAGAGGGAGAATCTGACTGTGTGAATCTGACCAGATTTTAATCCAAACTTTGCAGGAACTCAGTTATTCTATGATTCTAAACCACTGAGCCCTTGTACCTTGTCAGATGTGTTTTGGATTAATATGCTTGACAAGTTTGACTGTTCATAAGCATTCCATAGCCTCTCCAATGCTGAGCCAGCTGATTGACCAGCTCCAGCAATGAAAACTCAAGAGGTATCAGTGGCTGCACTGCATGTGAATGGAGTACCTCAAGAGGGAAGGTGCCCCAGACATTGCACAAGGGCCTCGAGACACACCTCCCTGAAAATGGGGTAATAGAGGCCAAGGAAACCGATCTGTGTAATTGCATTGCTTTGGCTGGGTGCTTTTCAAAAGGCTCAGTGGAAAGGGCGAAGAAGGGTGGAACTCACCTGCCAAGGTGTGTTTGCTTTGCAACGTCCCTCCCAGATTAAATGGAGCTTTGTGTCTGGATCATGCGGGGCAGGGCTGTGTGTACGGAAAACCATAACATTCTGGCATTGAAGGACATTTGCAGAATGCAATACCGGCCCGACACGGAACCCTGTGGTGGCGTTACCTGCCGTCAGGCTGGAAACCACTTAGCAACGCTAACCACAGGACTTTCAAGACAGCCGAGATACTTAAGGGGTGGCTTAACCCGTTCCATCATTCCCCACCCCCCAGTGAGCTTGCACGGCCACAGAGGGATTCGAACTCGGGTCGCGGAGCCCTAGTCAGGGTTCCCTATTTTGAGAATGGGAATCCCCCCCTCTGAGATTCAGAAATCTCGGGAGAGACGGGGGTGGGGGAGCTCCTCTTATCCGGTTCCGGATAACGACGGCCCGTCAACTCCGGCTTCTCTGCCGGCTGCAGCTGTCGGGCAGGATCTTCCCTCCGCCCCGGCCCGCTGGGTTGCGATGTGTCACTTGGATAACTTGATGAGGGTGACAGAAGGAATGTGTGTGTGTGAACTGTTTCCTTTAGCCACCCGGAAGAAATGATCTCATGGGGAAACTGACACACTCCAGATCAAGTCACCCAAAGCCACTCTTTTTTTCCTGGTCCGATGCTCCAAACCATGCCCCACTTAGGACATCACGACACTTGGAATAAACACAACGAAGACTCTTCAAGACTGACCGGTTTTGCCTGGCAGAACGTTTCACGGGCTGGAGCCTTTCGAGGGCCGCAGGCCTCCTTGATTTCCTGCCCGACACGTTAAGGCAAAAGGTTCCCAACTTTGAGTCCTCTAGATGTTCTTGGACTACAGCTCCCAGAAATCCTGGCCTAGCAGAGGTGATGGTGAAGGCTTCTGGGAGTTGTAGTTTAATAACATCTGGAGGCCCAAGGTTGAGGACCACTGGACTACAGCTCCCAGAAATCCTGGCCTTGTGGGGAAAGGCTTCTGGGAGGTGTAGTCCAACAACTTCCGGGGATCCACAATGGGGAATTGCTGCACTAAGAGAGTTCTTCTCCCTGCACCCCTAAAAGATTTCACCTCTCTTGCCCGCCCCCCCGAGTTTACCAGGATTCGCATCAGTACCCAAATGGACACCACTTCGGTTCCAGAGACTGTGGAAATCCTGGGGGGGAATCTGTTTCCTTGTTTTGGTGCCTGGGAAACGATGTGCTGATTCAAAACTTCCTGATGGAGGAAGTAACTAGACATAGGAAGAGGCACAAAGCTAAGCTCTACCCCGGGAACAAACCCTCAAATAAAATAAACCACCCTTCCTAGAGGAACAAAACGGAAGGGGGGAAAAACTCACATGGAAAGGAAGAGAAAAAGTACACGATATCACGGGATGAGACTTGCATCATCTGGATGGTGAGAAAAGTGCAAATCCATTGGGCCTGGACCCAATAGTTCTGAAGCAAGGATCCATCCGGACAAGCCCCGACACAATACCCTCTCCCCATTCGGACACTTCCGGAAGATCCCCCAATCCCTCCAATGGTTATAGAGCGGCCTTTTAATGATCAGATCTGAGTCAAGAGGCCGCCTTCCTGTTGCCCCTGGGTTTTCTAATCACTAGGACCAGCAGAACTATCTGGCCGCAGAGAGCAGAGGTTGGGGGTTCGATTCCCCACTGGGGTGTTGTCCCTGACAGGGGCTGGACTAGAAGACCCACAGGGTCCCGTCCCAGCGCTGCCGTTCTAAGATGATGATGATTACTCTCTCTGTTGTTTTGGATGTTTTTCTAGGTTTGCATACCCGAAAAGCAAAAATCAGAGATACTGTAGCCATTTTGGGCTTTGTGAACAAAGCACACGTCCCAAGGCAGAGAAAGCTGCCAAAAGGAGGAGCCCAGAGTTATTATTATTATTTTTTCCCAGCTGAAAGGCTGGCGCGTGTAGACGGAGCAGATCTCCCGTTTCCACAGCAGCGGTCGAGGCGCATCGCTTTTATTGTTTAACCCCCGGCCCCTTTCCACCTCGGGTGAAAAGAAAGAGGTGGCGAAACCAGTAAGACGAGAACCGAAGAAGAAGAAGAAGAAAATTCCCCCGGGCAAAAAAATCCCCGCCCTCTGGAAGCGGTAGACTACCACTCCCATCCTGCGTGGCCCTGCTGGCTGGGGATCATGGGAGGTGAAGTGTAGATGTCTCTCTCTAGCCACCTTCCAACGCGGCAACCGTGCGGAGATGGGGAAGAGGCAAGGAGGCGTGGTTTATTCCAAGGAGGGGGCGTGGCTTGCTTTGGGGGGAAAGAAAGGAGGGAATGGGCGTGGCCATGTGGGCCAAGGGGCGGGGCTCCGAAGAGAGAAATAGACTCTGCCTCCCTGGGGCGGCTTCGCTTTTGTGTCCGGAGCGGCCGCGCGGTTTGCGCGCGAGTGGGGCGGGCGTCCAGAACGCGCTCGGGGAGTCTTTTGTGCTTCGGGGCCGGGAAGACAAAAGGAATTCTCGGGGTTCCTGGATCCGGGGAACCGGGGCGAGATTTCCCCACCTACCCGTCCCCCGCATCCCTCTGCTTTCTTTCCATGGCTGCTGAACCGCGAGCCAGCAACGCCTGCCGGGATCTGGTCCTCTTCTTAGCCGCCCTGCAGGTGAGCGATCGCGCGTATCCGGGATGATCCCCGCCCAGCTGGATCTAGGGATCCCTTTTCCAAACAAAGGAGGAGAGGCCGGGGGAAGGAGAGCGGGGATCCGTGGGTGTGCTCCCGTCCCCCATCTTCAGCCCCAGTTCTGGCCATCGACCTCCCTGGTTGTTACCTGCTTTTTTTGGGAGGGGGAGAGAGATCGGATCGGGATCCTTTCCTGCAACTCTGGGCTTCTCCCTCCTACCTACACTCCCCTTCACATTTCTCGTTTGGAAATATCCACGGATCTCTCTATCGGAGCTCGGAGACGTTAGTTAATGTTGGATTCCAACTCCGAGTATCCCCCAGGTGGAGGATTTTGGGAGAGGTAGTCCAGACAACTCTGCAACTCCCAAACGCTGCACCTCCTGCAATAGTAACCATGTGCTGTCCAGTCGATTCTGACGTATGATCTTCCTTCTCAGGATTTTCCAGACAGAAGTGGTTTCTCATTCCCTTCTTCGGGGGGTTCCCTGGGACGGTGCAGCTGGCCCAAGGCCCCCCCAGGCTGGCTCTTCTCCACGGAGACCCAGTGGGGGAATCGAACTCCCAACCAGGCCTAAAGAGACCCAGTGGGGGAATCGAACTTCCAACCAGGCCTAAACCCTTGAACTATCCAGCTTGCTATTTTTTCTCCTTGAATTCTCCTTTTTTTTCACAATTGCTGTAGCAAATCTGGTTCTCGGGAGCGTGTGTGTAAGAGGGAGGAAAAAGTAATTAAGTAATTTTAGACTCTGGACTCAATGGTTTCCCTCCCTCCCGTTTTTAAAAATAACGTATTGCTTCAACTGTTGGAATGTGTCTTATATATGCTCTACGTCTTATGTAATACGTATTTTTAAATATACTCATTGCTTCACTTCTAAATGTAGTCACCACTCCTGCTGTGCTGGGCCAACTACTTCTTATGGGTTTCTGCGAGAGCAAGAGAACTAGGAATATATTGAAGGATTGGTTCTTATGTTTGCCTTAAAGCTGGTGTGGTGTAGTGGGTTAGATCTCACTCACGAGGCCTGAGTTCAAATCCCTGCTTGGCCACGGAAACTCTCTGAGAAGTTATCAATGTTGAAATTACATACTAAATATCTTACATACACCCTAATAGTGTGTGTATTTTTGTCTGTAAAGATCAGGCCTTAGAAAGCCTGGCTAACAACAAGACCAGTGGAGGTGATGGCATTACAGTTGAACTATTTAAGATCTTAAAAGATGACGCTGTTAAGGTGCTACACTCAATATGCCAGCAAGTTTGGAAAACTCAGCAGTGGCCAGAGGACTGGAAAAGATCAATCTACATCCCATTCCTAAAGAAGGGCAGTGCCAAAGAATGCTCCAACTACTGTACAATTGCATTCATTTCGCACTCTAGCAAGATTATGCTCAGAATCCTCCAAAGTTGGCTTCAGCAGTATGTGGACCAAAAACTCCCAGAAGTAGAAGCTGGATTTCAAAGGGGCAGAGGAACTAGAGACCAAATTGCTAACATGCGCTGGATTATGGAGAAAGCCAGAGAGTTCCAGAAACACATCTACTTCCGCTTCATTGACTACACAAAAGACTTTGATAGTGTAGACTACAGCAAATTATGGCAGGTCCTTAAAGAAATGGGAGTGCCTGACCACCTTATCTGTCTCCTGATAAATCTATATGTGGGACAGGAAGCAACAGTTAGAACTGGATATGGTTCAAAATTGGGAAAGGAGTACGACAAGGCTGTATACTGTCTCCCTGCTTATTTAATTAATTTATTTTTATTTTATTTATATCCCGCCTATCTAGTCACTTAAGACCACTCTTAAGACCACTCACAACCTCCGATATGCAGATGATACCACTCTGATGGCAGAAAGTGGGGAGGAATTAAAGAACCTCCTAATGAGGGTGAAAGGGGAGAGTGCCAAAAATGGTCTGAAGCTCAACATAAAAAAAAAAAAAACTAATATCATGGCCCCTGGTCCCATCACCTCCTGGGAAATTGAAGGGGAAGATATGGAGGCAGTGACAGATTTTACTTTCTTGGGCTCCATGATCACTGCATGACAGCAGCCATGAAATTAAAAGACACCTTCTTGGGAGGAAAGCAATGACAAACCTAAGCAGCATCTTAAAAAGCAGAGACATCATCTTGCCAACAAAAGTCCGCATAGTCAAAGCTATGGTTTTTCCAATAGTGATGTATGGAAGTGAGAGTTGGAGCATAAAGAAGGCTGACTGCTGAAGAATTGATTCTTTTGAATTGTGGTGCTGGAGGAGACTCTTGAGAGTCCCCTGGACTGCAAGGAGATCAAACCTATCTATTTTGAAGGAAATCAACCCTGAGGGCTCACTGGAAGGACAGATCCTGCAGCTGAGGCTCCAATACTTTAGCCATCTCATGAGAAGAGAAGATTCTGTGGAAAAGACCCTGATGTTGGGAAAGCGTGAAGGCAAGAGGAGAAGGGGACGACAGAGGACGAGATGGCTGGACAGGGTCACTGAAGCAACCAACATGAATTTGACCAAACTCCAGGAAGCAGTGGAAGACAGGAGGGCCTGGCGTGTTCTGGTCCATGGGGTCACGAAGAGTCGGACACGACTTAACGACTAAACAACAACATAAGATCAGGAAACTATACACAAATAAAACTGTTATTTATCTACTTACCTCTGGGTTGCAATAACTTGGAAGTGACTTGACAGCCCATAAGAATGACAATAAACTCAGATCTATAAAGGCCTGCCATGTTTAATTAGAGCCTGCAAAAACATGCCACCCAGCGTCTGGTGTTGCTTTAAGGACAAAACCCGTCGGGAGTCCATGAAAGCTTACGCTTCACAAAAACTGGGTGATCTTTAGAATCCCACCAGACTCTTGTTTTCATAGTTGCAGACTAAAACAGTTCCCTCAAATAATACAGTCAGTTAAAAGCACATACGTATGAAGTGGAATCATGTGCGTCCATATGAGAGAGAGAAAGCATGTGGGAGCCGATTGCATTAGTCTGCTTGCCTATAACTAAATTGATCTGTTACGTTCAAATCAACTGAGCCGGAGAACCAAATTTATGGATTCCTCTCAATATTTTATTTTATTTTTAATAAGAGAAAGGTTGAGAGGTAGACTGGAAACATCTGTTTCTAAAGTTGCCGACCAGTTGAACAGAGACACAGTTTGGTACTACTTGAATTTTTTGTGTGTTTAAGTCTAGACTCATGGTTCCTCACCTTGGGTGATCCAGATGTTCTAGGACCACAGCTTCCAGAAATCCTAGCCAGCACAGCTGGTGGCAAAGGCTTCTGGGACTTAAAAAGTCCCAGAACATCTGGGAACCCAATGTGGGGAACCGTTGATCTAAAGCAAGGCCAGCCCGAGAGATTTTGATGCCCAAGGCAGAAACTTCAACATGCTTTGTGCTTGGACAAGCAAACACTTTTGTTAACTTGCGAAGTGACTCACAATGGAGCACATTTCTCTTGAGTTGTGCACACCCAACTTCCTAAACATGAGAATCTTCGGGCTTAGATATTCCGTGCACGGAGTTACAGAGTGCAATGAAGGTGATTTTGTGAGGATGAAAAGTCCTAAATCTTTGTAAATAAAAGATAAAAGGGAGCAGATGTGGGATGCCACATTGCACGGGAGTGCAGTTCCCATCAGCCCTGGCCAGGAATGATGGGAGTTGTAGTCCAGCCACATCTGAAGGGCTATACAGTGCTCATCCACAACCTATTTATAGGTTCTGAAGCTCTGCTGTCCCTTAAGAGCAGGATTTTTGTGGGACTAGGCAGAATTCTCCAGGCAAAATATCAAGAAACGCACATCTTTACATTTCTGTTCAAGCATCTAGGGAAATATTTTGCTGGAACAGACCATGAATCAAACAGATTTGCAAAGAATATACCAAGTAGCAGGCTTTGGAATGTAACATCTGAGGTTCCAGCGTGGCCAGATTTAAATCCACGTTAAGTACTGTGTTTTCCCGAAAATAAGACTGGGTCTTATATTAATTTTTGCTCCAAAAAACACACTAGGGCTTATTTTCAGGGGATGTTTTATTTTGTTCATATACAACCATCTACATTTATTTAAATACAGTCATGCCATCTTCTTCCGGTTGCTGCACAATGTTGCACAAGGGTGGAGGGTGGGGTGTCTCTTAACTGGGGCTTATTTTTGGGGTAGGGCTTATATGACGAGTATCCTGAAAAAAATCCTACCAGGGCTTATTTTAGGGGAAACAGGGTAAATTGAAATATTGGAAATATTTTTTTATCCTGTCTTTCTCCTTTAAAAAGGACCCAAGGCAGCCTACCTAGCTAAAAGTCAATATTTAAAGTTTAAAATAGTAAGTGTATACACACTGAAAAGAATCAAACAAATGGCCACAGTAAAAATGGTAAAACCAAAGCAACATGAAAAAAGAGATTCAAAGTAACAAGGCAGAACAATCCACTTTAAAAAGCTGTTCCAGACAGCCAGTCACGAAGGGAAAACCGCCCTGAAGAGAAAGGTTTTGTAGAAGGATAGCCAAGATGGGGCCCGGCTGGCCTCCAGTGGCAGGGAGTTCCAGAGTCTAGGAGTAGCAACAGAGAAGGCCCTTTCCTGGGTCCCCACCAAGTGCACCTGTGAAGGTGGTGGGAATGTCACAGTTTAGGGTCTTGGATGATAAGGGACATCTCCACATTTTAAAATGCAGAACCTTGTTGGAACAATATACTTGCTTTTAGGATACTGTGACACTTCCGTGCATCTTCATACAGCCCTGTCTTCTAGCGACTGGCCAAGCGCTGCTCAAGTCGGCCTATTGTCCTTCCTGTTCTTTATATAAGATGTCCGGAGGCGTAGTATTTGTCCAGGTTTTAAAAGGCTGTACGCTGCTGTCAGATATGTCCTTTAGCCAAAGCCATAAAACGCCCATAAAAAAAAAGAACCGGAAGAGAGGAATGATTTTACAATGCCATCCTTGTGCAATTATATATTTTTTTCTTTCTTTTTCAAACTTGGAAGGGTTACTTTTTAAACTAACGATCCGTCAGCTGCCCAAAAGGAAAAAAAAAAGAAAGTAAACTGGGCATTGCAGACTGGAAAAATAACTTTTCTGGGATCAGCAGAAATAAGAATTCCAAGAAGCAAGTTAAGCTCTGTTAGGTTTAGTGGGGCTTTTTTTTTCCTGAGTAAGTGGCTGAAGGACATGCGCACGATTTTCCATGACATGGAAGAAATGGAAATCGCAAAGAGCGGGGGGGGGGGGGGCAAGGACACCCTCTTTGTGGCCGGCTGGTTTGGATTTTAAGGGCCAGTCAGATATTTAAACAGAAGCTCTATGGGTTTCTCAGAAAAAAAGGCCCGAGAAGCTGTCGGTTAGAGTTAGTTTGAGTTTCCAAGGTCAATAGGAATAATGTTTCGTATTCTTGCAGTTTCAAATGGTTCATCAGGCATGTGCTGTTATATTCCGTCTGTGTGTGCCATAAAACACACCCTGTTTGTACCCCTTACAAATTTAAGATAACCCTTCATGTCAGCAGAGAAAGCAGCCTTTATAAAAGGAGATCTGGGGCTCTCCAGATTTATTGGACTACAACACCCATGTGTCTTGACCATGTCAGTTGGGATTGATGGGGTGTGTAGTCTAAAACAGTGGGGAGGCAGCCGGTTGCTTATTGCTGCTGTTATCAATTCATAAGTATTTAAGGTTATATTTACAGTGCTAGCTGGATAGCTGAGTGGTATAGGTCTCTGAGTTGGGAGTTCGATTCCCCCCCCGCTGTGCCTCCCGGGAGGAGAGCTGGGTGGCCGATAGCTGAGTGGTATAGGTCTCTGAGTTGGGAGTTCGATTCCCCCCCGCTGTGCCTCCCCGGGAGAAGAGCCAGCCTGGGTGGCCTTGGGCCAGCTGCAGAGTCCCATGGCGCCCCCTGGAGGAAGGGAAGGGAAAAAACCATTTCTGTGTATTCTCTACCTGGAAAATCCTGAAAAGGGTCCCCTTGTGTCAGAATTGACTTGATGGTACACAATAATAATTATATTTACAGTGTGCTCCACCTCCTCTGAAATTGTTACTAAATTATTTCTCTTCTTTTCTCCAGGCAGTGCCTTCGTTTGCTGAGGATCCCTGTACTGGGCCCAAAGAGTAAGGCTTGCATTTAAAGACTTTTGTTTCGCTACGATCTGCTTCTTTTGAAATTTCTCTTTAAAAGAAAGTAGGCAGTTTTCGCTAACAGGGAAGGTTTCCTTCAAATCTCACTGCGGCCACAAACAGGATGGATGGACGGATCTGCAGTTCTAAGATTATTGGATGGATGGACAGATTTTTTTTTGCATTACTTATTTTATTCTTAGAAATTTGGTTTTGTGTGATGTTTTATTAGTTTATTACAGTAGTTTTCTTACTTTATGTTATTGTAAGCCGCCCTGAGCAGTAGCCTAACCCATAGGTGGGCGAGATAAAAATATTTAAATATAAAGCAAATAAATAAAAAAGTTGTGGGATTCTCTACAGCTAGGAAATATCCTTTCCCCTGGGAATTACAGTCCAAAAATGAAACACTTCTGAGCTTTTAATCTTTACTGCCTCTCCCAAAAAGAAAACTGATTCTAACCTTCAGCTCCTCATCGGCAATACGGAGAATATACACCGTATTTTTCTGTGTATAAGACGCCACCATGTATAAGACACCCCCCACTTTTCTAATCGAAAATTAAGAAATCTAAGTGGGGCTTAGCAAGTGTAGGGGGAAAGGGATCTGCCGGATTGCTTTGATCCCTGCTTTCCCCCCCACACACTTGTTTTTGTTCTCTCCTCAGCTTACTTCTGTGTATAAGACGACCCTCAATTTTTAGTCTAAAGATTTTAGACAAAGGTATAGTCTTATACACGAAAAAATATGGTAAGTGCAGCCAACCTGATCTCATTATTTTGAGAATTTCTGCATGATTGATGGAGAAAAGAATAAAAATCTAAGCCAGATACTCCCATAATTGGAACTTTTCTGAACTTGCTGCTCCTAATTTTAAGTGTTTATTTTATTGGGTAGCATCTGTAGGCCACCTTTCTCCTGGTGGAGAGGGGGGGGGGACCTTAAATCTTCAGTTCCTGATCTGGAAAATGTAATATCGACCCATCTGATCTTTCCATTGTAAGAATTTCTGAGACGCGCCATGATAACAGATTTAGAAAATCAAAACTTTTGACGCCTGCCCTTTCCTGTTTTTCCATACCTTTAGATGTCCCGATCAAGGAACTAGCTGGACAAGCTTGTGGTATGTCTGGTGAGTTTAAAACTGGTTTCTTCTGTGTCATTTTTATAAACGCCCGTCCTTAATAACATTTGGATAAATCTGCAGTCCCCCCATAGTGGCAAAAAGAGGATTCGCTTGCCCCAGTAGGTAAAATGAAAGATAACGGTATTTGAGGAGAGAACTAGTGTGATCACGTGAGTTGGGGTTTTTTTGGGCTGGGATGCGGGAGGTCTGAGTTCAAATCCCTCCACCTTCCCGGACAGTGGGAACGCGGAACAGTTCGCATGTCTTAGAAAACCTATTACGATTGCCAGAAGTCTTCAGAGGATGTCTTGTAATAAAAATAAGGAGGTATTAAAGACAATTGGTTCCTCTCCGTGTCTTGTCAGTGCTTGCTTTCTTTTCTACACTGGAGAGAGAGAGTTTGTAGTTTTAGTTTACTTTGCAGCCACGGCTGGTGGCATTCATGACTCCGCGGAAGAACAGAACAAAACAACACCCCTCCTAGAGATACACACAAAAACCAGCCAGTCGTTTTGTTTTTCAGAAAACAAACCAAAGGGGCCTGAAAAGTTTCCATTCGAAGTCAAGGCATGGGGCTCTTTTTACCTGTTTCTCTGTTTTGACGTTTTTCCGCCCGAGATTCACCCCTTCTGTCATTCGCGGCGGTTCTGTCTTTTGATGAAAGCAAAACGCCAAAACAAACGGAGATCGTGGCCCCCGCAATAGATCTCAGCCTCCGTCCATGACCCAGTTCCTCACGTAAGCCACCTTAGGTCCTTTCCAAAGAGAAACGGCGGCTCCTAACATTTTAAAATATTAAAAATACTTAAGTAAACAAATAAACTGCATCTCTAAATTGGGCCAGAGTGCGAAGCCTTCTCGCCTCTGGTAATTGGCCGCTGTGTCTCGGAATGGTTTGCTCGCATCCAGCCTGTTTTGGGGACAGGAGAATGATGGATGATTTCCGTTGATCAGGATATCATCCTCCTTGCCGGTGGCCCAGCGAGGTCAGCTGCAGAATTTGGAAGTCTCCTTTTCTGTCCCATAGCCTGGTAAACTGGTTTCCCCAGGAGAGATGAGTTGGTTTCCTTTGTAATGACGCCGACGGGGAGGTCTCTATTTAAAAATGAACAGGATAAACAGCAATCCTATTTTTTTGCCGAGAAGCTTGGGGCTGTTTCACATTGTTTGGGCGGATGAGATACTTCCTCTTACCCCCTTCTCATCCCTCTGCTGGAGGGTTTCCTTAAAAAATTCCCTCTTAACAGCCAAGAATGCAGTCTAGGGTAGCTCATCTTGATCTCATCTGCCGTGTCCTTTGTACAGAATCTAGAAGCAAGGGTATTTCTGGCGGCTAAAATATTAAAAAAAAAAAAAAGACACACAAACTTTCGAGTCCAACAGGGTTCTTCGACAGGCTGGGCATTCCAGAACTCAGAGAAGTGGATCCTCCGAAATTCAATGGCTCTTGCAGAATCGGGATCCAAGTTAGAGAAACATCTTAAGAGTATTGGTCGGGTGCTGGTTGGTTTCCTCCAAGGACGTGCACCATGTGCCTGGGGTTGGACCAAGCCAGAAAACGGTGGCTTAATTAAAACGGGGATGATTGTCATCGTAGAAAGATGTCCGTCAGTTTCGACTGAAAGTGGGAGGGGAAACGCTTTCGTCACGGAGGAGAAATTAAATTTCAGATAAGCTTTTGGGGCCACCTAGTCGTGATGGATAGAGATGCAGGCCACCAACGTAAAAGGATAAATAATAAGCATGTGCCGTCAAGTCAGTTCTGACGTAGAGTGACCCTTTTTTAGGGTTTTCTAGAGAAGACACAGAAGTGATTTCCCCTTCCCTTCCTCCAGGGGGCGCCCTGGGATGGTGCAGCTTGCCCAAGGCTACCCAGGCTGGCTCTTCTCCCAAAAGGCACGGGTGGGTTGGGGGGGAGAAATATTTTACCTTCTTAATGTCAGTGTCCACTTCTTAGGAGAGGCATTGCAATAGAATGGGGGGAATAACCCTGAATTAAAGGAGAGAAACTAGGAAATGAGGGTGTTATAGAGACAGAGAGAGAGAGAGATGGGCTGTCTGGGAATGTCCAGGAGGGCCAGATTTGGAATTGGAGTCAGAAGACGCTGGCCACCCTTGGGCCCTGGATCTCAACCGTGGGGTGGCCCAACATGGTTGGGTGACCCCTCTCATCATCCCCAGCCAATATGGTTGATGGCCAAGGATGACGGGAGTTCTGTGGGCCCACTGCTGGGAAACGCTTGAGAAAGCTGCCTATGAACCAACCCAGTGGTTCTAACGTTCTCGGGATGGCATGGCTATGCAAGATAGCTGGACAACAGCCCTGCAATGTAGACCATGTTTCCGAATGTGAATTTTCTCTCTCTCTTTTTTTTCCCTTTCTTATCTCTTAGGCTTATCCTCCTCACTGTGTTTCTCCTCCTGATATGTGGGATCGGGGCCAGCTGTGTCAAGTTTTGCTGTCGCAAGAAAAGGCCCCCGATCCAGACATTTCCACCCACAGCCCATGATCTCACCATCATCCCCATGGACCACGACAGCACTGCTCACAGCACCGTCACATGTAAGTACATGCCCCCCTCCCCCCCCGATCTGGTACCCAAGTCCAGCTTCCCTACGCTCTCTCCGAAGCAGAGCTTAGAAAAATGGACTTCCCAGAAGTTTACAGACTTGGCCACACTAGCTGAGACATTCTGGATGGTGTAGTCCACAGTAATCTTTACCTGTCTCTAGTAGTGAGCAACCAGTCCTGTAGTTATCTGCAATGAATAACTTCTTTTGTAACTAGAGTGTAATGAAGTTACATTTCCAATATGTAACTTCATTAGTTACATGAATACTTGGTTCTTGTAGAACCAAGATAAGGAATGGGAATGGTGCTAATGTTTCTGGTGAAGTAAGTTACAAGGATTAGACCCCTCCTAGTTATACAGGCATTTTTCAAGTTCGACCTCATTCCTTTATCAATCCTAACCTATCTCGCTTTTTCAAGTCACAGAAAAGTAGCAAACAATGAATAAGATAACATGTTTCTAATATTTCCTTGCAATACAAATGATAATGAATAATTATTGTTCCAATTACAAAAAATGCAGGTAATTAGTGTATTGGGTGGGTCTAATTTCAGTAACTCGTTACATTTTTGAAGTTAGAACAGTAATGAGTAGTTGGGAGGGTTTTCCAGCAAGTTAGGTAACTAATTACATTTGGCGAGCTATGGGAACTAGGTAAGAAATTCCTTTGGACAAGTGACTTAATTATGCAGATGTTGGGGAAGTTTTTTTTTACTACAGTGCCCAGAATCCTGGTAGCAATGCAAGCTAGGGGATTATGGGAGTTGTGGTCCAAAACAATCCAAATTTTGCTGTTAGATGTGGTTGTTCTAGAGCCGTGGTTCCCAACTTTGGCGAATCCAGGTGTTTTGAGACTACAGTTCCCAAAAGCCTTGAGCACCAGCTGTGCTGGCTGGGGTTTCTGGGAGTTGCAGTCCAAGATCACCTGATTTACCCGAGGTTGTTAACCACCTTCCCTCCAGTTAATACCTGATTTTTTTCCATTTTTCTTTTTTCCCTTTTTTTCTTCTTCTTCTTGGATAATTTGTTTATACTGATGTTTAAACATTTTTGTTATATTGTAATTTTGTTAGATTGTTGTTTTATGCGTTGGAAGCCACCTAGAGTGGTCGTTCGACGAGATAGGTGGGATATAAATGCAATAAATCAATAAATAGATAGATATTGATGTAGTAACAACTTTTTCTGGTCTCACCTCTTTCTAGCGTACAGCTCGGTACAATATCCTCCGAGTTTCCCCATCCCCTTCCCTTTTAGGGAAGTAGATCGGAGCGCGGCGAGCCCCCCGGCTTACAGCCTGTACGCCATAGAACTGCCGCCGTCGTACGACGAGGCCATCCGGATGACGAAACCTTACCTGGAGACGCCGTTTGCGAGCCAGAAACTGGAGGCCCCCACTGCGGAACCGGCAGCTCCGCCCCCAAACCAGGAGCTTCAGACGTTGCCTGAAACATCCAGTGGCAACTCTGCGGTTGAACAGGAAGGTCCGAGGAGTCCGGAAGCTTCCACAGAAGGGCAGCCAGAGCCCCATTAGCATCCCCTCTCCGTTTTCTTAGTGGCAAAATAACACGGATACCAGCCTTTTGATATTTTCAGACCGTGGATAAGTGAATCAGTGGATACTGGTGGACTGTAGGTTTGTTGCCTGAAACATCCAGTGGCAACTCTGCGGTTGAACAGGAAGGTCCGAGGAGTCCGGAAGCTTCCACAGAAGGGCAGCCAGAGCCCCATTAGCATCCCCTCTCCGTTTTCTTAGTGGCAAAATAACACGGATACCAGCCTTTTGATATTTTCAGACCCTGGATAAGTGAATCAGTGGATACTGGTGAACTGTAGGTTTAACCTTGAGACAGAAACCAGTCACCAGGACCACCGTCATGTATGGAAATAAGGCCTCCAGGGGCAGGCAAGAACATCCCACTGACGTTTCGAGCGTGCCGATGAAGCACCGAGTTAAAAATAAGACTGAGTGAGAGGTGCTGGGTGCAAATTCGCTCATCTCGCCGTGTGGAAGGGTGATTCTCTGGACTTGGAGGCAACAAAGAGGAGGTGACTGTGAAGACTGAGGATGGCTGATAAAAAAAACGGGGAATGGCCCACTTCTGGACCCTTGAGCCCAGGCACCAAAGGGAACTGTCGCCCCGTTATCAAGACGAACAGCAATACCAACGAATTGCAAATTTGTGCCTCCTTCTGCGAGGACTGAATTATCCAGCAAATTGCTGAAGGGTTAGATTCGTTGCTATGTAACGGCCAACGACCTTTGGGCTTGGAAGGTCATTGTAATCGTCTACGTCATGCCTTACAGACAGGTTGGGCCGAGGGTGGTTGGGTGTCATCCTGATCCCCTTGGGGTTGTCGGAAGGTCAAAATGCATTTTTTAAATAGATTTCAGGAATCAATCTTGGGAACCAACCCAGAGGCGGTTAACTTTTCTCCAGTCCGCGTAGCCACGGGTGTGGGATTCTAGGGAGTGAAAGTAACTTTTTTCAAGCTTTGGTAGAGAACTGTTGCTATCAACATCAGGAGAGGGTTCCGAGGTTGGTTTGTTGCCCTCAGAGAGAAAACTGTTGCCACAAATTTTGAATGTAAATATACATGTCTGAATACTAGCGTGTCTGCTGTGAATTTGGGGGGAGTAACACTCATAATACAGCTCAGAGGGAAGGAGGTGGTAGAAAAAAGAAATGCCTTCATCTACAATTCCGTACCACTTGGGACTATTTTTAAAGGAACACTCATAATACAGCTCAGAGGGAAGGAAGTGGTAGAAAAAAGAAATGCCTTCATCTACAATTTCGTACCCCTTGGGACTATTTTTAAAGGAATTTTATTATTATTATTTATTTATTTATTTATTTTATTTATATCTCGCCTATCTGGTCGGGTCAGGACCACTCTATTTTTTTTTTAAAAAAATCCTTTTCCTATATTTCCCAAAATAGTATCCCTGTGCTGTTGAGTTGATTCTGACTTATGACCTTCCTTCTTAGAGTTTTCCTTGATTCTGACTTATGACCTTCCTTCTTAGGGTTTTCCAGAGTACTCAGAAGTGCTTCCCTTCCTCTAGGGAGCGCTGTGGGACTGTGCAGCTTGCCCAAGGCCACCCAGGCTGGCTTTTCTCCCTGGAGATGTGGAGTGTGGATTCGAACTCCCAACCTCTGGCTCCACAGTCAGAGACCTAAACTGCTGAGCTATCCAGCCAACATTCTTCACCCCTGGCTCCACAACCAGAGACCTAAACTGCTGAGCTATCCGGCCAACACTCTTCACCGTCTCCCAATTCCCCTTTCTCTCTGCCCTCCCTTTTCTCTTGCACACGCTCAGAAAAGGATGACACGCAGGAAATAGAAAATGACTTCCATGCCGTTTAATGTTGTAACTCTTAAGCAAGGGTGAATTGTCCAGTTTCCAGGTCAGCTTCCCTTAACCAGAGACCTAAACTGCTGAGCTATCCGGCCAACACTCTTCACCGTCTCCCAATTCCCCTTTCTCTCTGCCCTCCCTTTTCTCTTGCACACGCTCAGAAAAGGATGACACGCAGGAAATAGAAAATGACTTCCATGCCGTTTAATGTTGTAACTCTTAAGCAAGGGTGAATTGTCCAGTTTCCAGGTCAGCTTCCCTTCCCAGTGGACCCCACCACGCCACTGCTCTTGGTTGGCTGCGGGTGGGAAAAAGAGCGAGCGAGCCTGTCCCAAAGAACGGAGGACGATGGGATCTGTTGTGCTTTCTTCCGGCCCAGTTTTTCCTTGGCTGAGTCGCCGCTCCCCTGCAAGCCTGGAGGATTCTCTTAAAGCCGCTGAAATCTGTACTGTCAGGAGGCAGGAAGAAGTGGGTCTCCCCTTTCCGTTCTCTGTGCTTCCACCGTCATGCCTTCGGGAGGCCGAGACGCGAGATCAATATTTAATTTCAGCTCCGTACACCAGAAGGCGTGGGCTATTTTTGGCTATTTACGTTTCATGGAGAAAAAGCAGGCGGAGGGGTGGGTGGAGGAAGGCGGTGGAAGAAGGGGGGCCTGTATCCAGAATCCTTTTTTTCCACGAACCTTTACTGAGTCAGTTTGAAAGATTCGCCCGTCATCATGGCCACGAACTCTGAGGAAAGAGAAGCAAAGATCACATTTCCCCCAAAAAAGGGCCGAGACGGCTACGTCCCCTCCCTTCGCCATTTCTTTGTCAAGCCTGGTGGGTCCTAAACAGGCTGCCCTATAATTCCCCATGAGCCACACCAGTTGGATCACTGCCTGATGGGAGTTGTAGTCTTACAACTATCTGGGTTTGGGCAAAGCCGGGTTTAAAAGAACAGGCTACGTGTCCTTTGTAAGAAGATGGTATGAAGTGTGTACAATTAAAAAAGATGAATTATGCTGTGAAGCTGAAAACCTGTGAATTGGCAACTAAATAGCTTCTGAGTTATGGCAGCCTGTGAATTAGCAACCGCCAAAGGGTCCTACTCGGTTCAGGTCTTGTAAACCCAAGGTTGTGGCTTCTTTTATTGAATCAGTCCATCTCACACCTGGCCTTCCTCTTCTCCCGCTGCTTCCAGCAGTTCCCAGACTATCCCATCAATATGTTTATTTTCTCCTGATTTTACTCACTGGAGGGGGGGACAGAACCCCTAAACCAGTTTCACGGCTGCTGGAATAAAATGCTGTCTTGAATGACCCTAGTCTTTGCCCTCCAATTCAACAGAGCAACTGAATTTGAACTATTCAGTTTCTCAGACTACATATCCCAGAATCCCCTCTTCAGCACGGCCTGGCTGGCTTGTGTCTTAGAAATCCTGATCCTCTTGAAATCTGGAGATTTCTAGAGCACAGGTCAAGAAGGACACCACTGCCCCCTGATGATGTGTGCAATCTCAAGGTGATGCGTCCAGGTTTCGTGGCACTGATGGCGAGATGCACAATTGGTTTGCAAAGTGTGTGTGTGTGTGTTTGTGTGTCCCTCAAAGGATTTGCGTTCCCAGTACCTTCGTAATCTATGGTCCCATCTCCATCCTTGTCGGCTTCTTTCATCATGAGCTCGGCTTCCTGTTCGTTCAGTGGCTCTCCGGCATTCATCAGCACGTACCTGGAAGGCAGAAATGACCCCAAGAAGGCAGCAGGTAACGATCCCCTGCTGGTGTCTGTCTGTGCGGTCTGGTATACTGCCTTGGAACATGGAGGTTCCACTTAGCTCTCCTAGCAACATCTGTACGCGTTGCCCTTTTCTATGTCCTACAGCCGACCCAGAGCAGGGCTCTGTTTGACTCCCACCCATCCACCCAGTGAAGGCAACTCCCTGCTTGGGTGGGAGAAGAAGGCTGGGGTGGTGGTCATCAGTGGTCACGGATGCTCAAGCCAGGCTAGAAAAGTGCTCCACTGCACGAGAAGTCTCCTTGGAAGTAAAATCCTCCTCGAGAGCAGGGGTCCCCTTGAGGAAAAGCTCTTCCTCCCAGGAAGACCACCAGGCCAAATGCCTGCACCTGAGCTCTGGATGAGCAAAGCTATATAAGCCTCAGCTGGGGGAGCAGCAGTGGGTAGTTCTGATGGTGGGTATTCGCTCCCCGTTCCTCATCTTGGTTTTGGTGCCGCCTGTCCTTTCTGGCTGACTCCAGCTGGGTTGTTTTGGGACTGCTTCGGACCTCTCCCTGTTGGGTTACCAAGATGTCTGGACTTCACAGCTCCTGCTCCTGGTTGACCTGACTCTCTGGTAGGACTCTTGCTTGTTGATTCCAAGGTCTTGGGAACCAGCCAGCCTCTCCCCATGGTTCCCAACCTTGGGGTCCCTGGATGTTCTTGGGTTAAAGCTCCCAGATGCCTTCACCACGAGCTGTGCTACCCAGGACTTCTGGGACTTGTAGTCCAAGTCCACCTGGGGACCCATGGCTAGGCATCTCCGGAAGGCTGTGCCTCTTTTCCATGATATAACCTGCTTTCTGGCCTCCCAAATTAGGTTTGGAGTTCCTCCCTCTTGAGTTTTAGAGGGCTGAAGCTGCCGTATTTTTCCATGTATAACGCACCCCATGTATAAGACGCCCCCCACTTTTCTAATCCAAAAGTAAGGAATCTAAGTGGGGCTTAGCAAGTGTAGGGGGCAAGGGATCAAAGCCCTGCAGGATTGCTTTGATCCCTGCTTCCCCCTCCGCTTGTTTTTGTTCTCTCCTTAGCTTACTTCCATGTATACGATGAACCTCAATTTTTAGTCTTAAGATTTTAGACAAAAGTATAGTCTTATACATGGAAAAATACGGTAAGTCACCTGCCGTAGGAGCTTTCAGCTAAAGGTGCTCGTATTTTCGATTACACTCTCTTGCCTTCGGTGCTGTGCAAGAATCGGGAACCTCCCTTTTTGGGGAATCAAATCCAACTCTTGGTCTAGAAGAGATTGCCCAGGCTTAACTACACAACGGAGGCCGAGTCGTAGCCCAGAGTCCTCGAAGATTTTCCGTGGTCACATGGCCAGTGTGATTTAGACACGGAACGCTGTTTACCTTCCCACCGAGATGGTCCCTATTTATCTACTCGCATTTGCATGCTTTCGAACCGCTAGGTAGATAGATTCAAGTTTCCTTCTTACTTCAACGTGTTCCACTCAATGTAGCCCTTGTGCTCCTTATCAAAGACTTTGAAGGCTGCACGTAATTCTTCATCCTGGTTTTTTGCCTTCTCGTGGTAGATGCCCATCAACTCCAGGAATGCATCACAGTTGAAGGTGCCCTTATCTAAAGGGTAAGGAAGAGAGGATGATGGAGAGAGAAGAGCACCTTCATCTAGCTATCGGTTCCAGTTTGCATCTAGACATGAATGGCAGGTAGCCCCATTTTCTTCCCTTCTGGCAGCGAAATATACGGGGTGGGCAGCCCTCCACATATTTGGGTTTGCAACTCCCATCTACCTTGGCTAGCCTGCCCAGAGATGATGGGAGTTGTAGTCTAGGCCCTTTGGGAAGGATCCACCTTTTTTCAGCCAGAGGGCCAGCTTTCCTTTGCGAGACGTTAGAGACACATTCTCACAGTGGAAGATGGGCCATGGGGTTGGGTCGGAGGCATAAAGAGCTCACCAAGTTATACCTCCAGCCTTCGGAAAGGTTATGTCCAACATGGTAGAATTAGGAAAATCACAACATAGAAATTGAAATGATGATGTCATAAGGAAGGGCCGGGGGCATTTTAAGGACATCCGGATGGGCAGATTCAACCCTGGGGCTTAAGGCTGGCAACCCCTCCTTGAACTGGTAAGGAACGGAGAGGGGTAAGAGACACAAACAGAGATAATGATGGAACTCAGACCCAGAAGAATCTCATGGCTCTGGTTTTGCAGGAGGACGGAATCCACTCCAGGGTTTAGTTCTGGCTTGGCAGCCAGCGGGACCTGATTGCCCAGCAGAGGCTCAATAGCTTGGGAGCAGCTGTTTTAAAGTTCAAGCTAAAAACCGGAGTGGATGCCCCATTCCCCGCAGAATCGGGCCACCACCTCCACTGCCCAGATCAAGATGTTATCGAAGCATGCAAACCCTCCAAGATAACCATGCTTGTGAGCAGAACCCTAACCCTCAACCCTGCTCCGGGTCCCGGCACTCTCGGAAAACCCAGTCCCAAATTCTTACTGTTTTTATCGACATCCTTCGCCATGGAGATCAGTTCCCTCTTGGTTGGGTTGATGCCGATCAAACTCATGAGCCGTTCCAGCTCGTCGGTTTTCACCAGGCCGTTCCCTTCCTCGTCAAACATCTCAAAGATCCCTTTGTACTCCGTGATCTGCTCGGGCATCAAGGCCTTACTCTGCAGGTGTTGAAGAAGGGGTTGATTCCATTTTTTTTAAAAAATGGATGGGGAAAACCACTGAAAACTGAGAAATTGCGGATGGATGGTGTCATGGCGAATAGGAGACGGGGCTTCTAGAAAACCCCATTAAGCCAGCCGGACACCCCAAGCTAGCTGGGAGATTTTGTCTGTTGATGTCAAAAAGAAGTAACTTTTCCCAGGCTTTGGAAATTCCCTGTGTAAATAAATCTTTTGGCTGGGACATGCTTGAACATTTCAAGGTGTTTCACTTTGCCATTAGAGAAGATAAAGGCATGCAAAAGTGGGCAATATAGTGACCTCTGTATCGGACTCAGCCCAAGATTGGGGAAGATGGTAACTGTAGTCCAAAGCATACATGCATAACCTACTGCCAGCTTGTGGGTCGATTTTGAGCAAATCTCTACCTGTCACTAGAGGGCAGTATTGCTCAGCTGAGGGCTCTTGCATTTTTAATTGGAATTTATCACGAAATTATGAAATATCTTCCCATTCTGGATGAATTTTTTTAAACTTTTGTGAACTTTGCTGTAGATTTTGCAATATTTGAAGTTTCAAATGGTGAATATTTCTAAAGAAAAACTTGTCTCAGCCTACACGTTTTTTTCTATTACTAGTTCTTAACTTCTCCAGAATTTCCAAAGTTGTTGTTCTGAGCCTCTTTACGATCTTGCATCAATTTCCCTGCTGGTTTTCTTGGCATTCCCTCCTCTATCTATGCTCTTAGTTAGTCAACACAAGCAATATTCAGAAATGTTATTTAGTCTGTGTTTAAAGCCAAATTGACACTTCCTAAAACGTGGATCAGATTCAAGGTATCTTTCAGTTTACTACTTTTTCCAAATTTTGCGATATGGTTCTCTAACTGGAAAAAACAACAACCCGCTGCTAATTGTGTATACAGTTGGATTTATAGGGTCAAATGTTTACAAAAGATATATTTAACTGTTGGATAGATCAGTGGTCAGGAGTTTGAGTCTTCATTGTGCCTCCTTGATGGGGGATGGACTTGATGACCCATGGGGTCCCTTCTAGCTCCACAGCTCTAAGATTATTCTTTGAGGGATGCAGGAGCATGCTTTGTGGGCAGTACAGTTGAACACACAGATCTAAAGGCAAATGTTCACCTATTGATGTGAAAATTGCAGATTGATGCAGAAATGAAACAGGATGTGTCTAAACGGGATACCCCTGGACTGCAAGGAGAACAAACCTATCCATTCTGAAGGAAATCAACCCTGAGGGCTCACTGGAAGGACAGATCCTGAAGCTGAGGCTCCAATCCTTTGGCCATCTCATAAGAAGAGAAGACTCCCTGGAAAAGACGCTGATGTTAGGAAAGTGTGAAGGCAAGAGGAGAAGGGGACGACAGAGGACGAGATGGCTGGACAGGGTCATCAAAGCAACCAACATGAATTTAACTCATCTCCGGGAGGCAGTGGAAGACAGGAGGGCCTGGTGTGCTCTCCTCCATGGGGTCACGAAGAGTCGGACACGACTAAACAACAAAAACTAGAGACAGACCAATGAGCACACAACAGGGATAACACAAGGAAAAAGGCAAATATTGAGATCCTCTCATTCTTAAAGCATAAGAAAGGG